CACCGCGGGTGGTGAGGGGTCGTCTGTCTTTCTGTCTGTCCGTCCGTCGTCGGAGTTTCTGGTGGAGCTTGGAGCCTCCCGTGGGTGTGCGCCTCGGCCCAGCAAAGCCCTCTAACGGCAATTAGTGGGGAGCAGTTCGTGCCAGCTGGAGCCCATCACCTGGTACTTCGCTGGGGGCTTAAAACCTGTGTCCTGACTGTCAGTAATAGTTATTCTTCCTGCCTGGCTGTTTGGGTTGTTGGTGTTTTGGGTTTGTTTTTTTTTTTGTTCTTTGTTTGTTTGTTTAGGTGGTGGGGGTTTTGGTTTGTTTTGGTTTTTTTGTTTGTTTGTTTTTGAAAAGCCAGAGGAACTGGAACTAGCCCCTCAGTCCCTGAAGTGACAGAGGAAGACGCATCCTTCCCAGTGCTGTTTCATGACCTGTTGAAGGCAACTGTGAAGTCTCAAGCAGGAAGGCACTTAAATGCTGGATTAAATAGATATCTTCCCACCCTCGTTTCAAGTTTCGCTTCCTAAATGCATCATGGCATCGTAGCCCTGCCAGGTCTCCCCTCCTCTCCAGCCGCCTTTGGGTGGGGGAAGGAGAAAACAGAGCAGGCCATGAACTTAATTGATGTGGTTTTAACAAGCACAATCCTCAAACCTTTAGGCCATATTTTACAAGTATAGAAAAGAAAATGTGTGAACTTATTTGAATGCTTAGTTTGCTTGTTTTTTTAAACTTAGCCAGGTGCTCTAGGGTGTCCCTTTAGTCTTGCGAGTAGATTAAGAGAAGCTGGGATGGAGATGAGCTAGAGAGCGTGCGTGTGGCCCGGAGGAATCAGTTCCCTGAGGATAAAGACAGTTGATCTGTGTTGGGCTTGTTGCTCTGACTTGCTAGTGGATATTTGCAGTGCAGTGTTGGAGAGAAAAGGGGAGGATGGTGGCTTGTTACTTGTATAGAGACTGTGCTAACAGGGAGAGGGCCATGCCGAAACCATATTTTAGAGTAGCAGAACAAATCTTAGCTCTGTACAAATGTACATTACTAAACGAGCATTTGAAATCACATGATTTAATCTTAGAGCAGATTCATCAGCTACAGCTCAACTGATATGAGACTTTCTACCCCATCTGCTTATACGACACTAACTTCTAAAACTAACAGGAGGAAAGTCAGGACATAGAAACACTTGCTTCAGAAAACAAGCAGCCTTGTTGTTAAGGAGGTGCCTGTTGTTAATGTGCTGGAAGTAGGCTCACGCTAACAGATGAGGCTCTTGCAGCACCAACAAGTTATCTCTGTGGAGGAAAAAAAAGCATGTAATGTATTGCATGTACAACTACTTCCTCCTTTTCTGTAAAGGACGCTTAGAAACCGGAAGAATTGGTGAGTTTGGGCTGTGCTACTGAACTGAGGAAGCCGCCAAATTAACTGCTTAATTTTGTACTGTACAGCTCAAGAGCAGCTATTTAATGTTTAAGCCTCTTGCTCTCTGCAGCCTTATCTTTCACTGGGCTTTTGGATATATGCTTAGTACGTTAAACCAGGGAAGCAGTACTGAGACACCTGGTCTTAGGTAAAGGAATACTGAGCCCTTAGTGCGCTAAACTTGTTGATCCCAAGCTTGTATTAGGGGATACTAAGTCAGTGTTAATGTAGTAGTGTTAAGTATTGTCTCTGATATATTATCCTGTTGCTCGTTGCTTTTTCATTTCTAATGCATCACATATATTATACTCATTCCTTTCACAATTTGTGTTTGTACACAAAGTTAGATTGAAGCCAGTTGGAAAACTTGTGACATCAAGACTCCTTTTTGTTCATCAAGTGCTTTAAATTGTATTCTGAACCCAGAAAACATCAACTCTGTCAACAGATGTGCTAGTGGTCTTTTGACGTTTGTTTCACGTTACTTTCAGTAATGTGTCATCGAGCTATTTGGGTTGGGGATGTGTTTCTAATTTTAGGCTCTCCTACTCGGTGATGCAGTTTTGGTTATATAGTGCAGTTCTGCAAGCAGGTTTGGTGATTGTCTACAGTTCTTGTAAGCTGTCCTCTGTATGTTCTTACAGGTGGGTAAGTCTTAAACCTGCTGTCTTCCTGTAAACTAATGCCATGCTGACACTCTCGCTGTAGGCAGAGAAATGGCAGGCCCACTCGAGTGCATGCTTGTCTGATTAGGGATGTGAAGAGAGGCGACTGCTAGCTGACAGCTGTGCTAGAAGAAGCTCTGAACCTGACGAGTTCCTCCGATGAAACTGTTTCTTCTGCTCCTGAAGGACAGCACCGTTAGCGTAGTCTATTTTAATTGTGGTCCGGTGGCAGAAGATTACGAATATCGGTACTGTCTGCTAGTGTAGACCTAGCCAAAGAGTAATGTGACAATATCCTCGTGATCATGTAACTCTTGTATAATAGTCCTGAAAATGGACTGTGTGGTAAAAAACTTCAAATACAAAATATTATAGGATGCTAATAGTTGAATTGAAATTAAGGAAAGTATATGAATTTGAGTGGGCTTTTCAGATTTCTACGTGACCTCATTTAAGTGAGGACAGAAGTCTGTGGTTTTTAAAGTATGCAGAAATTAATGAAAATTAGATTGCGTCATAAGTCTGCTGGGATCTCTGTAATGCTTTCTGACCCTTGGCTTCAGAGGACTGTGTGAAGATTACTTGTGATGCGATAGAAGAATCAAAGGATCAGCTTACCTTGAAAACAGAAGGGAAGAGGATGAGTGTTCAGTTTCTTGTTGCTCTGTGATTCTTAGTCCAGGAGAATTACAGAGCCTGCTACTGCAGCACTGCATCCTGGGGACTTGTCATGTCATTAGGCTGTCATCAGAGTCCCCTTCTGACCAAGTGTGGGAGAGGAACTTTGTGGTGCTCGCCCCTCCTTAGCCTTCTTCAGCTAGGTTTCCACCTGGAATGTAAAATTGTGTTTCTGCTTCCAGCCTCCCTTTTCCTTGCCTACTTGTCTGTGTCACCAACGTTGTTTACGTGTGTGACCAGAGTGATCAGCAGTAACTGAATATGGGTATGTATTCACTGGCGTTTTTGTCTTGTGATGGCAGATATACCCACATGCTGTGACCTTCTCTGCAGGAGAAGAAACACGAAAGTCTGCATGATCTTTTTTGCTGTTGTCTCGTGTTTAAAGAAGTAGGATTAGATTAATTATGATTGCAATGGCATTTAAAGCTTAGAGGGACTTTCCTTCCCAGGTGATTTTTGCTTTTAGAAGGAACAAGTAAGGTTTTGGTGTACATCAGTTGACTTGCAACTTAACTGCTTTAGTTGGTAAGAAACATGCAGCTATCATTGCTATATCAAGCTGTGATGGCTATATTCAGTTTAAAAAAACCTCAGAGCTTAACTTTCTACGTAAATCATAGATAGTCCTTTGTTAGTTACCTTACATTGGAGGGTTTTGCTAGAATGATCTGGGCTGACATGGACATCTTGAACTATCTATATCTTATTTAGGTACCCACTTTATATTTTATTTTGGAATATAAATAAAATAGCTTTTCTTTTTCTTTTCCTAACTAGACAGTGAAATATTTTGTCCTTAAATCCAGTGTATCTCCCTTACCCTTCCTGGGCCACCAGAAGAACTACTGCTGTATTTCCTAAAACATAGTCTATCGACTGAGAAATAGTCAGCGGGTTCATATTAAACAATATTTCCAGTGAAGTCAGATATAGGCATGTAGTAGCTTCCTTTCTTCTTCCTCTTCTCTGTTCTGCAGTATTTGGCAATGGTTTGATCAGAAAAGTATGAGAATGACCATTTTATGCTATTACAGGTACTCTGGAAGAGAGGGAAGATTACAAAGAATAGAATGAAATGTGCATTCAGACTGTTGTATGGTCTACATTTAAAGTCACAGTGCACAGGAGATGCTCCAAGATGAAAAACTGTATGCTAGTGACTGGAACCTCTACATGTTGTTTCTCTTTCCACCTTTTCTTGTTGCCTAAGAATCTAGAAATCTGCCAGGGGTGAGTAACTTCAACAAACAGTCTCCAGAGGATGTTGCAACTCAGCGCTTAAGGGCACCAATCCCATGCAAGTATGAATATGCAGAAGTGTCTAGGCCTGGGAATGCACTTTTCTTGCTAATTTCCTTTCTGTTAATTCCCCTAATGACAAAAATAGCGTGCAAAGCCTCTTAAGTTTGTGTCCCTACCCTATAGCTGCAGATTTTAATGTCACTGGCTCAGCAGCCAACTCTTGTATGTCATGGACTGTGTATCAGTCCATAGCTGAACCACCCTCTGTTGTATTTTCGGGAGACAGGGAATGATTTTTTTTTAGAGTGATAAGAATAAAATAAGAAGACCTTAATATAAGTGGTTTAGAAAGACTTTACATATTGTTTGCTCAGCAGACCCAGGTATCTAGGGGAGAACTGTAATCCATTAAGAACAGCAGTACCTTCTCGTATTTGTGGTGGCATACCATTGCTGACTAAAACTCCTTTCCTGATGAAACCGGTGAAAAAGTCTTGTTAAGACATGAACTCATACCAGAAAGAGGTAAAGAAGCTGTTAGGATCCTTGGTGATTCTAGGCAGTTACCACTAAAAATTGTGAGGTTCTAGTACTTCTAGATCTTCTTTCAAATGGGAGCTGCCCAGGCTTGGTGCCAGTAAACTGGATAATGGTGGCTGAAGTGATGCAAGTTATCTGCAGCCTTCACACCTGGCGTCTGACCTTCTTGCAAGACAAGCGTTTGCAGGAAGGAAAGCTGCTTAATACACCTTACATTTGTTGCAGCAGAACTTCCTAGAGTTCAAAGCAATAGTGACAAACTTCTGTTTGCCTTCATTTCTCTTCTCTCTTTGTTCTCTAAAATCCCTGCTCCTTACAGTTTTTTTTCCTCTGGTTGTTTGTAACAGACTTATCACGAATGTCATTGTTGGTAACCGAAGATGAGACTTCTGTACCTCTGTTGAGGGGGAAGAAAATTGTGTAAGCAGGGATTACATTTTCTTCATCATATCTGGTTATTTTAAGTCACTCTATGGAGTAATTTCTGAACCTGTGCGTAGCACTTCTGTTAGAAGGTTTCAGCTCTTGAGCTGTGCTCGTGTCTATTAATGCATGACTCGTATCTACTCCAAAAACTTTAAATTTGGCTGAGAGTGTTAGAGGTTGCCTCTATAAATACTATCATCATACGGACTTATACCAGCCTGGGGGAAAAGACGTTTAAAAATGTATTAAGGGATGGAGAGTAAAGCATCTGTCTGGATGAGATGTGTGAATTTGGACAAAGTTCTTTGAAGCTTTATCCAAATGCAAAGGATAAATAGGTGAGTTATCAAACAGTTGATTTTTACTGACCTGCCACACATGCTTAAGATTTCACAGTTGCACCAGATGAATGGGCAGAGAAATCTACATAGCCCTGGTTATGGTTGTATGAGGCTGCAGATGTTACCTTCTTCTGTTGCTTTTGGTTTTCCTAGCCTGCTTTTTTCCTACTTGCTGAGACAGAGCTTAAGAAGCAGTTAGTGCTGACTGTCAGGGGAAGGAAGGTGGATGCAGTGATTTAATATTAACCTGTTGATGATAGCTGCAGGCTTCAGTGCTGGCAAGTGTGAAACTCCGCAATGAGCGTATTAGCAGCTGTTGGATGCATCCTCAGAATCATAGTTCTGCCTTCACACTCTGTTCTCTGGCATGTTTCTTTTACCCGGGGAAGTGAAGCATTCAGATCTGCTAGTCTCTTGGGTTACCCCCTCCTCACAGGGGCAATAACCCAGGGGGGGAAGAGAGTGTTAAATCTATTTCATTCCGTCCCTCCAATCTGTACAGCAGTGTCAGTCAATAAATACTCTCGGTCTTTAAAAAGAAAACTGCAAAGCAAAGTTAAAGGAAATTAGAAAACTCTCTAGTGTTGTGAACAAATGATAAGTAAGAGTTCTGTCAGTGCAGAACTCTTAATTTGCATCAGGGAAACAAAATGGAGCTCCAGAATCTGGTAATAAGCTGTCTCTTTTTTTAATCATTAAACTCTACTACTACTCTTTCTCAAGTGCTCTCATTTGAAACTGTCTGTAAGCTGTGGGTTAGCTGACTAACCAATGTTTTTCACGGAGGCCTAAATAAAATTGCAAGGTGAAGCTGAAGTTTCACACACCTCTGTAAAGGCTGCCATGTAGGACGAGCTAGTGCTGCTTCAGAGGCTTTTTAGAGCAGAGCAGTTTAGAAGGACACAGTTGAGTACCAGCTTTCAAAAAAAGCTGTAAGTTCCGGAAACTTTTAACTTCTCCTTCCTAAGAGAAGTAACTGCTCCTCTGTGCCCGGTTTTGAAGGCAGTAAGCCTGTCTCCCAAGGTTATTAAAAAAACCCACCGGATATATGCATAAATGTTCTAGGAGATGCCTGGGAAGAATGTGTCCAAAAGCAATTTTGATACTTCTGTGCTCAAGTATGAGAGGATATAAGTGTCTTTAATATGGATCAAATATGTAACGTTACATGAGACTTAAGACCTTGGTGGGTTTGAATCCTAATCATACTGTGTGGCTGAGTCTGTGTGCTGTGTACCTTATCATTTGAGTCTCCCTATTTTATTTGTAACTCTTCCAACTAACTTTCCTGGATATGTACTAGTGGTATTAAATATGATTGAGGGGAGATTTCTAGGATGCTGTCTTCATTGTCTGAACTTGCATTTTATTTGGAAGATTCATCAGCTGTAAACCTCCTTTCCTGTCCAGACGTCAGATATTTTGTACATAAAGGAGGGCATTTTATCGATTGGTAGAGACTTTTAGATTCCATTAGCTGTTCCGGACAAAAGCTACGTAGGCTGAACTGGTTTAGTGAATGTCTGGTGCTAGCCCATTCTGGTTTATGCCTTCTTCTGGTCTCTAAATCTCATGCAAAAGTTTGAAATGCTGAAGAGGAGGAGGATTTTCTTACAAATTGGGCTATACAGAAACTGTTGTAATGCATTAACGCTGATTATGGTGCAGCAAGCTTTAGGGCCCTCGGGCTGATAATCAAATAGCAGGTTTATGAAGTGGTCTTGTGTTAAACTGGTTCAGGTACTTGTATACTTCTAAGTGCTATTTTAATAAGCTTTCACAAGAGGGCAGAGCAGAATTTGCTCCGGGAAGCAAAATTGTCTTGAGACTCGTGTATATCTAGAAATGACCCAGCTCAGATTCCTTCAGTGTTACAACAACACCGGCTGTGTTATTCATGCTGTCCACCTGGGTCGCATACTGTCCTGGGTGCTGCCTGGCCCTTCAGTTACTGGTCCCCAGCGGAGAGTCCCAGGGAAAGCCACAGCCTCTCTCAAGTGTCCCTCCCTGGCAGAGAGATGCTGGAGTGTGGAGGAGGAGAGGTCTGTAATGTGCCCCCTGCACCAGCTCTGCAAATGTTTGCTTGTTGGTTGTAGCTAAAACAGTCACACAGCGGCTGTGAGCACAAAAATCTTGTAGTTGTTAGCACAAGATAATGCTGTGGCGCAGATAAGCAAGCTCTTTGTAGTTGGCAAAGGTAGTAAAGGAGATACCTTGCTGCTTTCAAGCAGTTTCTTTGCAGCATGTTGAGGTGTGGTAAAACATGACCAAGAAAGCTACTTGAAAAGGAAATACTGTGTATCTCTAGCTTTATGGATCTTGAAGTATGTTGGCCAATTTTTTTATTACAGTTATTATGCTAATACCCAGGACCATTATGCTTGTTGAAACAGCTTAGAGTCCACAGAGAAAACTAGCTCCCTCCACCCCCTTTCTTTATTAGAGGACAAACTGAGTTAGTTTTTTTTTTTTTTTCCCCACTGCTGCATTTTAGAAGTGTAGTTTCAATTCTCTGTACCTTAATACTGTGCATTTCAGTAGCTTAGCTAAAAGAACTGCTTATCTTTCATCACGTTTTGAAGAGTTTTCTGGTAGGCTATCTTGTACAATTGAGTGCTACCTCAATTAATGCAAGGCAATTGACATTTAGCATGATAATATTCTCTATATGTGAAGACTTGAATGTTCTTTTTTTTTTTTTTTTTCTCCTGCAGGTTGACCCCAAAGATTACACTTTTTCTGGACTTAAAGACGAAACTGTGGGTCGACTGCCTGGAAAAGTAGCAGGGCAACAATTTGTCATTCAGGACTGTGAGAATTGTAATATCTACATATTTGACCATTCTGCTACAATCACTATTGATGACTGTGTAAACTGCCAAATCTTTTTAGGCCCAATAAAAGGCAGTGTGTTTTTCCGTGACTGCAAAGACTGTAAATGCATAGTGGCCTGCCAACAGTTTCGCACTCGAGACTGCAGAAAGCTGGAGGTATTCTTGTGCTGTGCCACCCAGCCCATTATTGAGTCCTCCACAGGAATGAAATTCGGATGTTTCCAGTACTACTATCCTGAGCTTGCTTTACAATTTAAAGATGCTGGACTGAGTATCTTCAACAACACATGGAGCAACATCCATGACTTTACCCCTGTGTCAGGAGAAAATAATTGGGGCCTTTTGCCTGAAAATGCTGTAGTACAAGATTATGTTCCTTTGCCCAGCTCTGAGGAGCTGAAAGCTGTCAGAATTTCTACTGATGCTACAAGGAGCATAATACCAATAACTCGAGGGCGGAGACAGAAAAGCAGTGATGAATCATGTTTGGCCGTGTTTTTTGCTGGTGACTACACAACTGCAAATGCCAGGAAATTAATTGATGAGGTAAGCGACCTTTGTCTGTATTCAGCTTTTTGAATTTCGAATTGAACTTTACTCTGGACAGTCTCCGGTGCTTCCTGAAGGGAGAACGAAGGGGCTCTGTTGTCTACTAACCATACCAAGCAACTGTGCTGTTTAAAACCTTAAAGCAAGGTAAGAGATTGGAGCTCATCTGATCAGACAGTTGTTTTACAGCTGACATCCTGTGAGTGGCACATCTGTCTTTCAGTGGTTTCAGTGTATTTTTCCACCATGGCGCATCAAAGCTACTTTCTGAAGAAAATATGTAGTTGATTCGATGAACTTGGCCAAAGGTACAGGAGGTGATCAGCAATGCTTATGAAAGGGATATAGCCAGTTAACTTGTTTGCCCTGAAACTTATTGCCAGTTAACTTATTGCCCTGAAAGTCACCGCTAACAAAACAGTCTGCATTGAAAATTTTTCCAGAGACTCTTAAAACAACCAAAAAAACCCAACAAAAAACCAAACCAACAAATTAAATTGTATCCCCCTGCCACCCAATATTGGAATTTTTTTCTGGAAGAGGCAGTGAGTGTTTGTCACAGCTGGTCAGCTGTCTTCGATTACTTAAATAGCTGGTGCTGTCCTTCCCCCCCCATGAGGCAGCAACTCCCAAGCTTGGCTGAGTTTAGGTTTTCCTGTGGCTAAAATCTGGGAGTGGCTGGCTGCTTTTAGGGTCCTGGAGTGCCAGGGATGACACAGCAGAGTCAGTAACCATGAGCTACAGCTTCTGAGAGAGGGGTATCTGCAAAAGCTGCTAATACCAGTGTTGTAAGATCAACAAAACAACCAATGGAGATCTTTCCCTTGGGTTTTTTAACTGCAAGGAAAGAAAGCTGTAGGGTGTTCCCATGCCCCTCCCCACTGCCCCCTTGGTTTTCTATGTAACTGAGTTACTAACAGCTACTTGAGCCAAGAGAGATAATGATACTTATGGGTTGGGTGGTTTTTTTTTTTCAGAAGGAATAGGTACAGCAAAGAGGATAATAAATGTGTTCTCCTGTGTTAGTGGTTCTTTAGAAATTAGAGTTAAGAAGATGCTAAAAGACTAATTAGTGAGATTCTGTGGAAATCCTACTGCTCTACAGTTGTTCCTTTTCCACATGCTTTTTGTTTCATATTAGATTTGAAGTAAAAAGCTGTGTGTGTTCGAAAGTTTAAATTTTTTTTTTCCAAAATGGAAAACTTCAGCAGTGGATAGATGAAAGTTAGAGCTAACGCTTGACTGAACTGTTGCAGACTAATGAGAACTAACTGCTTGACTCCAGATGCTGAATGCTTTTAACTCCCATTAGTTTCAGCTTGTGAGGGATTGTGGGGGAAAAAAACACAACCCTGGGCCATAATATAGAACAAAACCATTCACATTTACTCCTCAAGGTGCGTTAGGGCAGAGTAGAAAATCTGGATGAATGGAATGAAAACAAACAGAAATGCAGAAAAAGCAAATGGTCTTTGAAAAGAGCAAAAAGGGTCCCTTTGCTCTGTGGCTTAAAGTGTATGCAGCAAATGGGTGTGTTCCAGTGTCATCTGGATACTCAAGCTGAACTCTGTGCCTTAGTAGTATTTTTAACATGAATTCTTTCTCTGTTAACAGATGACTGGCAAAGGCTTTCAGCTGGTACAGACTAAAGAAGTCTCAATGAAGGCAGAGGATGCTCACAGAGTTTTCCAGCAGTGTGCATCAGAATTCATTCCGCTGCTTGAAAAAGGTGAGTTTGTGTTTTTTTTTCTTTCTCTTCTTGATATAGAAATCTAGGTGTCACTAGAGAAGAAGAAAGAGGAATGAAGGAGAAACTTGTGTTTCAAGGGCATAGTGAGCCAGTCAGGATGCATTTTGGAAGCCTCAGTAAGGCATTAAACCAGCCAAAACTCCTGAAGGCATCAGAAATGAGCTATTCCGCCTGTATTTCGTGGCTCTGCCTCCCCTCTAGCGGTCCAACCACATAGCTTAGGAGCAGTGGCACATGCAGATCTGTCTGGGGTGGTCAAAAGAAGCTCGTGCTTTTAGACTGTTTCTAACTTACCACCATTGCTGCTTGACCATCTAGATGTGTACATATTTAAGCAAATGAGTATAGATGTGTATAAAGTAGGCAAGTGTTAAATTCCTGTTTGACTGGTGTACTGTCAGAGTATTTCAAAAGCCTTTTTATTGATCTGACTGTAATTGGTTTTTGTCTCTTCCTGCATAAGTACTGACATCTTGCCATCTGTTACACGCTAAAGCTCAATACACGCTCCCAAACTTAGTAGCAACGTGCAGGTTTTTTCATAGTAACATAAGAGGTCTGTGATGCTCACTGCAAGAATTGGACAAAAGTTATTGTACTTATCAGATGATAGTCTAGTTTAAGGGCTATTTTGCACCCGTGTGGGAAGAAATAACATGTTCAGTATGAAACCAGAGAAAGGGGATCTGCAAATAGTGGGTGAGAACAAGTCTAAAAATCAGGCAGTTTACTATCTTGGGGCTGAGGCACAAATGCCTGAATGACTCAGTCCTACTCCAGATGTCTGTGAAATGGCTCACAATTTGAGCAGTATAGTCTGACTCACTTCCATGATGCCCTGCGCTCCATAGCATTTTTGTGCCATTGCTGCCTTTCAAGAAGTAAAACTGGAATCTTGCCAGAATCTCTGCAAAAATGAGCATGGAATTGCAGATATTTTCTTCTCAGATAACATTGTACTTTGAAGCTATGGTTAAGTGTTTTTAGTTCTTTATCCTGCATTATGGCTGCTCAAGCAAAAACCGTAAATAGCTTCTTGCAAGCTTCACAATTCCCTATGGGTTGAGAAAACTACTGTTTCAATGCCAAGCTAAAAAGTAGTATTGATTCTAGATGAAACTATCTTCTAGGTCCAGTGGTTGCTTTGGAGTTCAATGGAGATGGTGCTGTGGAAGGATGTCGAAGCACTATAAATGATGTTTTTAGTGGGACCAAGGTAAGTTGGTGTATTGCTTTATTGGCAGAAAATATTACAGAACGTCTAGGATACTTCATGGTAAAGCTGTAGCATTGACATACTGCACGATATTTTTAGGTTTCTGAATAGTAAAATCTGAATATCCTATTTTTTTGTTTGGTTTGGGTTTTTTTTGTACTCAAAACTCAAGTTGCTTGTCACAGACAAGAAAAATTGCCCTAGTACAGAGAGTACTAAATCCTCATATCCACTGAAGAATAGATTTCCACTTAAAACTGTTATTTCACAGAATAGTAAAAACAAGTTCTGTAAATAAAGTAAAAATAGGGAAAAGCTCTGCTCCAAGTCTTATACTGAAGTATGCTTTGTGATGTCCTAGTGTATTAAACCCTGACAGATAATATGACGGGATTTCAACTTTTTTTCAAGGTTTACTTTTGCTGTGTAGGATATTGCAGAATGCCTTCCTTCAAAGGCTTTTTTTTGTTTTTTTTAATCCGTCAGCTTCTTTTACTGTAACGTCTTTACACCATACCTCCTCTTTGCTTGCTGTCCCCGTTTCTCTGAATGGCAATAGTTTTGAGAAAGCTTCTGGAAGCGATTAGAGCACTCCTGTTAATGAGAAAGTGACAAGCTCCTTGCTTTCAAGCAGCTGTTCAAAGATGACTAGAATGTCTTTGAGACATAGTGTCTGTACAGCTCCTTGCTGTCTTTCAGTTCCTTTCGAAAGAGTTACTCGGAACTAGACTGCCCAGTTTCTGGAAAACAGTCATTTTGTAATAAGTCATCTCGAATGCAGCTAATGTTTGCTTTTTTTTGACCCAAAAGTCATTGATGCAAATTTACCATAAAAATGGCCTCTTTAAGCAGGAGCTTACAGTGGCTTTTTTTTTTTTAGTGTGGTTAGCATTTATTTTTCTTTTTTGTACAGAACAAAGATGATACTGGATAGGTAATTCACTGGTTCTTCTACATCTTTTTCTCTATTCAAAGGCTGAAGTGATATTAATTATTAGAACAAATAAAATTCCATATTTTCCTCACTAAAGTGACTGGTATCAGTTGTTATAACACTATGGATGCCCTGATCTTAGATGGATCCAGAAACCTCAAACTGTGCACTTCATGCCGTGAAGTAAGTGTTGTTCTTGGAGGTGATCTGTAGTGTTTGGGTTCAGTTCCAAATGTGAAATTGCTTACTGCATTTGGATTTAAAACTTCGGTTTACAGCATAGTTCCATAGTAAAATCTACCTCACTTATTAAATAGTTGCTGCAGGGAATTAAGAAGCAGGGCTTCCTGAGAAGTATATGTCTTTATTTAGATAAAATGTAGCTCCAAAACTTCTGATAAACACTGGGTTTGTGCATGACCCTAGACAATGGAATACCAGAGAATCACAGAATTTTCAGAGTTGGAAGGGACCTCTAGAGATCATCTAGTCCAACTCCTCTACTAAAGCAGGATTGCCTAGAGCACATTACTCAGGACTGCATCCAGGCAGGTTTTGAAAATCTCCAGAGAAGGGGACTCCACAACCTCCCTGGGCAGCCTGTTCCAGTGCTCCGTCACCCTAACTGTAAAGAAGTTTTTCTGTGTGTTGGAACGGAACATCCTATGTTCCAAGTTGCACCCATTGCCCCTCGTCCTGTCACTGGGAACCACCGAGAAGAGTCTGGCTCCATCTTCCTTCAACCCCCCCTTTAGATATTTGTAAGCAATAATAAGGTCTCCCCTCAGCCTTCTCTTCTCCAGGCTAAAGAGTCCCAGCTCTCTCAGCCTTTCCTCATAAGGGAGATGCTCCAATCCCTCAATCATCTTGGTTGCCCTTCGCTGGACTCTCTCCAGCAGTTCCCTGTCCCTCTTGAACTGGGGAGCCCAAAACTGGACACAGTATTCCAGTTGTGGCCTCACCAGTGCTGAGTAGAGGGGGAGAATGACCTCCCCTGACCTACTGGTCACACTCTTCCCTATGCAGCCCAGGATTCTATTGGCCTTTTGGCGACAAGGACACATTGCTGGCACATGGGCAATTTACTATCTACCAGGACCCCCAAATCCTTCTCCTCAGAACTACAATATCATGAGTATACATTTTTTAGAAAATGTGTTTCTTGGGACATAATTTAGAAGCAATTTAGGGAGTAACAAACTTCAGACTTAGTCCTGAACCTTCTGGCAGTAATACTATATAAAAAGGTTTCACCTCATTGTTGGCTGCCCTTATCGTGTTTGAGAGTTGTTATAGTGCTCAGAAAGAATTATAGGTATCCTTGATCAAGAAACAATGACAAAAGCTCTTAGGAAGACTTGTATCCTGTAAGACTTTGCAGGAGATTAATCTGCAAAAGCAGTGGCTACATTGGCATTTAAAAACGACAGTTAAAAATGATTAATTTAATCTGTTAATCACCTTAATTTCACCAGGTTTTTGTTTCTGAAATAAATCTCATAAACAACTCCTAGATACTTTAGTAAGGGTAGAAAAATTCTTCAGCAATAGCACCACGAGACCTTTTTGAGCTGCTTGGTAGAAACAGTGTCTTACAAGGAGAGCTCTACACTGCGCACTTAAGCGGACTTCCTATTTGTGTGAACTAGGTATGTCTACACTCTTTACCTCTGATATTCATTCTAGTGTGACCTTCTACACTTTTTTTGGCGCGCTTTCTAGTATTGTTCCTCCGTCTCATTGCTTATTCATAAAATACTCTGCAAAATGTAAATTGTCATATCCTGGTAGAGAAAGATGCTGAAAGAAGGTATTCAATTGTCATGGCCATGGTCCCAATCACTATCGCACCAAACTACTGCCAGATGATTAGTAGATGTTCTCAACGCCCTTCAAACAGAAGTCTACCGTGTGTCCAAGCAACAGTCTAGGAAACTGCTCACTTTGTGATATAATTTTTTTTTAAATCAGAAATTTACTGGACAATAGGATATTTATCTTAAAAAATGGTTTAAGTAAACCAATTCAAGGAACTGCCACAGTTTACATTCACATGGTATTCTGAGCTGAAGCAGAAAAGTGGTGACTGTAGGAGCATAGTCATCTGGAATAACCCATTCCTACAGTCCCAGTGCACTTCAGAATAGCTCAGTTGGCTGTGCCAACACTGATGTGCTGAGACAGTGATAATTTCCTCTTGAGGTACAGAAAATACAAGATAGTGAGAACTCAATTTAAATTTTTAATTGAGGCTATCACTTGCACGTTGAGATTGAACAGCCACCACACTTCCCATTACACTGAATGATTTGGGCATTGCCTAAGGCATTTGTAGTTGATTTGCTGTAAGCTTTCAAAGATGACTGTTGTAGAGCTTGGACTTCCACATGCGTTGATCAGTTTTTCAAAATGCAAATGTAATTGAGCTTATTTTAAAAAATAATCACCTTATGAAGAAGCAACTAAGTTTTTTGAGGCGAATATAGTGCAAGGGAGTCTTTCTTACAAACTCTGCCTTCCTGTTCAATGAAAGCTTAATGGTAGTCTAAGGTTTTTGTGTGCTTGTTCCCCCCTCCCCCCCCGACAGAGTTTGACTTTACCAAGCAAACTACATCTAAATGGACACTGGCTGAAGCTGTGACCCATTAATAATCGAGCCCCAACATTTTAATTTCTATCAGAGGAAGGCTAGGGTTACTGCAGCTAGCAAGTCTGATAAGAACAGTTGATGGGTGCACAAAGGGCGCATCAGGGCTGAGAGACTTCTAGGACTATTCTGTCACACAGTGGAAACCAACAGTCATGCCTCTTGTGAAATGCAAAAATAAAACTAACCATTACTGGCTCTGAATAAGCAAAGACTACTTGAACTTCTTTGTTAGTGATTCATAACTATTTCCTTGTTTAATAAAACAGGTTTTTGTATCGGAGAGCAAGGCATCAGCGTCTCAAGATGTAGACAATTTCTACAACTTTGCTGACATGCAGATGGGAATGTGAAGTATAACATGAAGGTGTTCACATATGGTTTGTCTTGGCACTTGGATGTCACGTGGCTTGAATATTGCAGTAGTATCTGAGAAGTTTTGTCATTTGGTTTTGTATTTCTTGTATGTGTCTTTTATAAAGCTATCAGTGGTTTTACTACCATATTACCTGAACTGGAGTAAATGGCATAGCTCCCCATGTGCATTGTGTTTGAAACTTGTATTTTGACTCCAGAAACAATGGAGGTTTTCTACTAACTTTTTACAGCGATTTCTAAACTTCTATTGACACTTGAATGTTTCTTGTCAACATCTAATGGTAAAACATATTTGAAAAGTGCAATGCTGATCCAAATTTGATGCAATAGTAATTGTTATCTTTAACTCAGACATGTTGTTTAGAAAGTGCATTTACTCACTGTTCAAAACTTTCCCATGTGCAAATTGTCTTCATTGGTGGTCAGGGAGGAAGCTGTAGTCGTTGACTTTTTCTGAAAGCCTAGTCCGAAATGAATTCTCCTTACAGCATGCTTTCAGAAGCAGTGCATGACTTATAAAATGTACATCTGGCTCATTCTGCTTCAGCATCTTTTTTGAGTCAAGTTGTTTGCAGCAGCGTTTATGCTGAGACTTGTCATAACAGCAGTGGGGTAAGTGAGCACTTGCCAAGGTCTTCTGCTTTGAGGTAATTCTGAGCATGAGTGCTCTGCTGAAGATGCTCCAAGGTCCACTCAAGGTCTCTGGCACTACAGCTGCCTCAGGTATTCCAAATCATGTATGGGATATACATGAGGTTCCCTTGGACTTGGAGCGATAAGTCTCTGGCACCATTGTTGTTTGCTGCAAGGGACATGCAGCAGCCAGGGGTCAGAGAAGGGCTCTGATGGCACTAAAAAAGCTCTTCCTTGCTAGACCCCAGGAGAAAGGTTTTACACTCGGTACTAGTACTGAAAACTTGGTTGTAAAGTACTATGTGCTGCTGCAGGGTTTATTTTGGATTAATTCTAAAAACAAACTGAAGATGTTCTACTACCATTTTGGGAAATGCATTTGAATAGTGATCAGTAAGGACGCTTATTGCTATATAATGCATATTAGAATGCAAATCTATATGGATATTAAATATGTAATGGATTTATTTTTGCATATTACATTCTTACTGATTTTTCTACACGTACTTAAAGCTTATGTCCAGGTTTACAAGCCCTCTGTAATACTTGAATAGTTTGTGCATGCAGATGCACAAAACCAAATTTCTTAATTAAAAGAGTGGCTTGCCAGTTTATGTAGCGGTTACAATCCATTGAATGGACTGGGGCTGTGTTGAGGTGCTAAAGCAATAATTTCCTCCATATGGTCATCTGTCAAAAGGTAAGATCTTGTGCATCTTAACTGAAAATGAGTCTCGACTCATCAGTTTCACAGCTCTGGAGCTCCAAAAATGGGTAGCTAAAAACACATCTCTTTCTGATTTTTTTAGAATTAGCAGATGAAAGAATCTGTTCTCCTGAAATTCATAATTCTGTCATGCCGGAGAGATGTTCTGAGCTGTCATTTAGTTGCTACTAGGCGAATGCTTGCCCTTAGTTTAAACTATGTATCGAGAATATGTCCGTAGGACCTCTTGTTAAAGTTATGCATAAATTAAATAAGGAAGAATATCTCCTGAAGTCACTAAACCATTAGTGTACTGAAGGTAAGAACAAATGTCACTTTTGTGAAATGTTTTCATTTGACAAAGTGAAATAAAATCAAACTGCCACCAGAATCTGACTGGTGGTGAAAATTGCCACTTATTTGCACTTAGCTAGCCAGGATTTTTGTTTTATATGTGTGAGGAGAGGCTGTGAAAACAGCTAAAAATCTTAGCTTGGTCTCCAAAGCACTAACACGACTCATCAACAAACATTTGCAAGGATTATTCTAGATACGTACAGTAAATGTATTTTTCTGGTATGGACAGTACATTAAAATGGTATAATGTACATCAGAACTGTCATTGTGTAATTTATCTAAGCAGTGTGTATATTGGACCATCTCGGTCTTTAAATTTTTACACATATTTCCACATGATTATATGTATGTTTATAGTTTATTTTTTGTATCATCAATCTGCTCTGGAAAAAAAAGTGCTAAATTGATTTTTTTCTAACTACTTTTCCTGGAGGACAGGATGATTAATTGAAAATTAATATAGGCTTGAAACAGTGGAAAAACTTCTACATGCTAGGGAAGAGCAGTGTTCCTTTTTTTAACATTGATAACCTGCTTACCAACATAGTTTTTAATAAAAAAAGCTAAATAATGAAGGAGTTTCTCAATCCAGTTATTTATCTTTTGACTTCAATTTCTTGCTAACAGGTGTTAAGAACACTTCTAGCCTAAGCATCAGGTATTGTATGCGTTATTGAATGGTACGTGCTTCATGTAGTCTTTGTATGTTTGTTGTATAGCTTTTTGTGTAACTTGTATTGCACTGTGAATGTGATTCATAATAAACATTGAAAATCTAACCTCTGGATTCTGGAAGAGTGTTTAAAATTATAAAATATTGCAAAACATCATTACATTATATTAAGTGTAAAAACTGAATTCCATGTTTAAACAGGGACTTTTCAATTAGTTGTGAGTATCTATTTAAATAAGCATGAACTCCGCAGTCATCCATCCTCCAAAAAAGGTGAATTTTTCACAGCAGGGATTTTTCCCAGAGTCACTGAGGATATGATTAACTTTACACTGCAGTTTTCCTAGTAAAATATGGAAGAAGGTGTTCTTATATCAAGCTGTAGAGATGGAAGTACAGATTCCTTGATGGAGCCTCGTAAAGCACTTTTCTCCGATCTGTGTGTGCATGTGGTTGGTTGTTTTTGTTTTGTTTTTTAACTTGTAAAAGCTTTGTGCTATTTAACTGTGCCTTACCCCTTTCGGTAATTGATAGGTGCTCGTTATGTGCTTACAGCAAAACCAGATTGTGATGGTTATTCTAGTAGAATTGTTCATTTAGAAAGCAGTTCCTTTGTATAACGCATTTAACATCTACAACCAGGTAAAAACTTCTGAGACAGAATGTTCTGCGGTAAACATTTAATAAATTCCCAAACTCAGCTTTAAACTTGTCAGAAATGAGAATCTTCCAACTAGGAATGGTGTAGGGTAGCTTTCATGAAGCATAAACGTTTGCTAAGAACATGAAGTATTGTATCAATATAATTTTCTTTTGAATATATTGAGTTGTGAAGCTTTAAAGAATCAAAGCTTTTGGTTTACACTTAGCTATTATTGTACCATTTCACAGTATACCCCAGTTGGATCAGAGTTGCCTGTTAATCTTTTTTATGTATTATCTAAGTTGCAGCAAAGCTGTCCTTAAGTATTTTCACAGTTTTTACCAATCACATACTCAAATACTAACATGCAGAAGCTTTGTATCTGTGCCCCAGTTACTAGGAAGTCACCCACTTTCTTTTGTTGTATCTAATAGTCGTGAATAAAATGCATGGATTTTAAAAGTAATCCACGTACCAGGCTGCACTTACATAACTGGGACAGATTTTTTTTTTATTTCAATTCCAAAAAACAGCCTGAAACTTTTTATTACAACATAGGTGCTTCAGTCATTCTGACTAATAGGGTCAAAAATGAGGTTTACTGACTTAAGCGTGAGTGAGAACCCTGTAGCTGAATATCTTCTCTTAAATGCTGACTTTTAAGCTTTCAGGCTTTATTCATACAGCATTCATCTTTCTGTGCATATTTAAATTAGTGTTGCTGACAATATCTTCTAGAAGGTGGCGACTTCCCCAGGCTTTTTTTCCTAAAGATTTAATAAAAGCTGATGTGAAATGCATCTTTTAAGACCTAGTAGCAGCCCAGGTGCCTGCCTGCGTAGTTCCTAAACTCTAGGATTTTTGCTATCAAATTCCTTGTTGACTCCTTTGGACCTTTGTGACATTTCTTTTTTGAATTAATGAGTAAGCCTTCTGAATCCCTAAGGGTGACATAGGTCTTTGGAGGTCTGTAGGAACAGCTCTTCCAAGGCATGTTTAAACCTGATTTAAACCATCTAAATTCTAGCCCAACAGTATTAAAAGCTATGAATAAGTGCTGTTCGTAAGGATGGTCTCTAGCATGCATGGATTTCAGTGGGATGGTGCAAGCGGGCTGTAGCACTTCATTAAGTTGTGTGCTGCATTCTTGCTGCAGTATATGTTGGAAGGCAGCTCCGTGGTGGTCCACTGCATTCCCTGGACGCTGCAGGGCTCACAGTACGAGCCGTAGCAATTTGCTGAGGATAACAATTTCTGAAAAATAATAACTTGCTGTATTGCCAGCCTGGAAGTTTTTCTTAAAGCTATCTAGTCTGACCTCTGTCTTTCAACACAACCATGTACATATGGGAAAGCTTTATGAGCATCAAACCTGGTAAAAGCAGGATGTACAGGAGGCTTCACTGAATGGTTGGGAGTCACGGTGTGTTAACAGGCAAGACGTTAATATCTTGGTGTCTGGTTTGGTAAAAGAATGCTTTTTATTGCTTTCACCTTCTCAGAATGCCTGCTTGCCATAAGACAGTTGCTGGTAATGTCTGTGGTCATGCAGTCTTCCTGAAGCATGAGTAGTCATTACTGGTTCTGAGTAAGAGAAGAAGAGGAGGAGGGAAGTGAGAGAAGCTTTTAAAAAAGCTCTGAAGTTTTCTGAGTACATGAAGAAAAATGTGCAACTACTCATTCCTTTATGTTTTTATGCACTAGTGATAATCCCCAGCTATGTACGAATTCACGGCTAGAGTATCTGACTACGTTCCCAGAAGGTATTAAGCAATGTGACTGTCAAATACAAGTCATCTTCTTTCCAGTTGCACCAGGCTTTAAAATTTCCGGTGTTGTCAGGGGTCTAAGACATCTTTCAAATACATGTGGATTTCCCTCACATCCTTCTGTTAAAACAGCTACAGAGAGTTTGTCCTTAAAAGCATCAGGTAAAGTTGATAGATAGGAAATTATGATGGGGTTAAGAGACTCTTGAGCAGCGTTTAAATGAGAGTTTGTCTGATGTTCCCAAACTGCAAAGGCAACATGCTACTACTGATTCTACCCAAATGATGAGACTAAATTTAAGGCTAGGCACCTCTGCAGTAGTGGGACCTCAAAGGACTCTGTGTCTGGACGACGGTGGTATGTATCTCTGCTTTTTCAACTTCATTTTATCATGAGTATTGTGGTGGCGAAGTCCCAGTTCATAGAGTCACGTAAGAATGTCCGCTTTCATTTTTAGGTACCTTTTGTCCTTGTCATAGCGAAGAGAATGTGAAAAGCTTTTTTGCTGTTCGAGCCATTAAACTTGTGTGTCTCAATAAAAAAATTGAAACAAACTTTTAGGGGGTGGGGA